CGGGGGGGGGCATGGCCACCAGTGGGGGAGGGGAGCGCAGGGGTGGAGGTTTCTGCGTGGGATGGGGGCGTCCGGGGCCGGGGCGACCGGAGGACCGAAGTCTTTAAGTGGGAGAAGTCGGTACTTAAAGGGAAACCTCTTCCTCTAGTTTCTAGAGAGGGAGGAGTGCGGTAGGCTGGCACTTTTATTTCAATAATTTTAGTTGGCGAACTTGGGACTTTTAAACAGGAAGACCACTCTGCGTTACTCTTAAGTGGTACTTTAAAAATTGTTGGAGCCTTCCGCCGGCGTTTGGCCGTGAAAGCCATGCATAACTTTGTGTGTGTGTATGCCGAGTACAATGGTGGGTGTTGGGGGGGAGGGTCTGGGCCCGGTGGAGCCTTCCCCGGCCAGCGAAACCTGAACTAGAGACGAGGAATACGGAAACGGAGGCAGATTTGTGGAAATCTCCAAGTGTCGATTAATGATTGTGTGCACTCCACTCAAAGGCTTCCTTTGCACCAGATACTGGTGGTATATTTTAAACAGGTATTCCATGGAAATGATAAAAGTTCTTATTTTTTTAAAAATGAATGAAATTCTATATAGCATGGAAATATAAGCAAGAACTTTTAATGTCTTGGTTCTCTTAGAAAATTGTATTATGAAGAGGAAATATTGTGGTTTACAATGGAAACATCTTCAGTGCTTCTCTTTGTCAAAACTGTATGTAGTATTTAAAAGTGTTTCTCAACTAAAGGAGGGGTGGCAGGTTGTTTCAAAAACATGGAATAGTGCATGAGATAGAGTATATTTTTCATAAGAAATTTTGTGTTAAGTAACCGGAAGGTGTCAGATTATCCATTTTATATGCATCTGTTATTAACAGGTTATTCTTTCCTGCCAAACAAATTCAACTTTTTAAACATAAACACACTTTCACAATAATTTCATTCATGTTAATTAGTGAAATGTTCTTACTTTATGAAGGGGGAGGACAGAGGTTCATATGCAACTACCTTAAAACTATTAAGAGCTCAGTCTTCGAGCATTTTGGTGAAGTTTCTTTTTATGATTAAATTTAACTTTTATAAAAGCTAAATTTTTTCATGTTTTTAAAACAGAACCTTAGTTCTAAAGAGGAAAAATTACGTATTCCTCATGCTTTCTGTGATATGCAAAATCTAAAGATCAAAAGTTGTTAATATATTTTTCATTTACCTGTTGAATGTGGTCAACAGTTATTTGGAGAAATATGCTTTTCATTCATTTAGAAACATTTGCTTTCCTAAATGCCACTTTAAATGTTATAATCTTTTGGAAATTTAACTCTTCTAGCAATTTTTCATAAGAACAAGTTCTATATGTTCAAGGGTTTTTTTTCCCCCCAAAGGTAGATTCTGGATTGTTGACTGTATTTGCTCTAATTAAAATTAAAACTGAGACCTAAAAAAAACAAAAAAGAGCCACTTTTAAAGCTTGTGATGAATTGTTTATTTTTCATAAATACTAGCCTATACTTGTCTGTCACTCTCAAACAAATTAACAGCTGGAATTTACAACAAGTGTGTGCTATTTTGATGAAATATGTTCCTGGGACTGTGTGAACTTAATCTGTGTATTATTGTAACAAATTGGATACTCCATCTAGGACCTTAAAAACACAAAGTAATATAAGCTCAGACATCAAAAATGGGAGGTGGATACAGTCCACTCCACTTCCAAGCTTCCAAGCATTCAAGGGATGAGTATATATATTCAATGGCTGAGTAAAACGAACACAGGCAATTTTCGGTTTTTTTTTCTTTTTTTTTTCACCAGCACTATAAGAGTGAAAATATATTTGGTGGAATTTTCAAAAACTAATGTACTATCAATGTAACTTCCAGTCTTAATGAATCTCACACCAATTAACCACGTGGGCTACTCCAGTTTCTTCCTGAAGCAGTGGTAGAACTGTCCTAATGGTTAATTCCACGAAGAAAGGATTCCCACCCATCGCATACGCTCTTGGAGGTGGCTTCTTTTTCCCAAAGACAGTGTGTTTACTCTTTGGACAGCTGCACCTCCTCCTTATCTGCTGACCGGAGGACAATAAAAATACTTCTTATGGGTCAGTGTAATATTAAAGGAGCAAAACTGTTGAGAGTATCTGTTACTGTTGCTGTGCTCACAAGTAAAGGCGAAGGCTGAACAGGCAGAGGAGGGGAAAAAGGACACTTTTGTTACTACCTTCTCCTTACTCCCTACTGCCTGAGACCAGCTGAGAGCCGAAGCCCATCACGCGGGTGGGCACACAATGCCCGGCGGGTTGCCTGGGCCTCCTTGATGGTATTCTAACACGCTCTTGCTCCTTAAAACAGCTCTCCTGTACTCTGATCTGTTTGAGCCAGATTCGTGGTAAGTGGTAACCTGGGTCTGTCCTCTCTCTGGAAATCTGTCTTTATTTATTTTTGTTTTAAAATAAAAATGGTGCCCCAGGAGATGAGAAGATGAGGTTGTTTCCTTTTCCTCTAGCTCTGCCCTGAGAAAGAGGGCGGGATCCTTGCAGCTCACACTGGGGAAGGTCTTTCGTTGGCTCGCCTTTGGAGGGCCCTGACCACTGCACCTCCCAGCCCCTGGCCCTGCAGCACCACAGCGGGCTTCTGGTCTGCCCTCGGTGGTGTCCCTGCTCGGCGCGGAGCCGGGTTAGACGTGAGCTGAGCGGAGCCTGGGTCGTTCCCTGCGGCAGCACCCCACCTGAGGTCTGCCTCCCGGGCGCTCGCCTGGAGCCGCGGAGACGCACCCGAGAGCTTGTGCCTTCGGCCTCAGTTTCGTGTGTACGTGGGGCTTTCTCGCCCTGGGAATTTTGGTGGCCACAGCTAAAAAACAAGCAGCCCGCGACCCTACCCGGGCGGGGCGGACGCCGAGACCCGCGCGCAAAAGCGGCCCCGGGGCGGGGCTCCCGCGCTCCACGGGGCTGACTCGCGGAGACCAAGTTGAGCAACCGGCGTCGAGAGAGACACCGCCCCTGGCTGGGAGGGGGCTTCTCCTCTCGCCGGATTGGTGGACGGAGGGAGCCTATCACCGTCGCCTGCCGCCGCCTGAGCCGTTTGCTGGTTTCCATTCATTGGCCCCCGAGCTGCCCCTGGATTTCCATCTTTTGTGGCGCGAAAATAACCCTTTGCTCCCTCGTTGGTTCTGGTGTGGTTGAGGGGTGGGGTTGCTCTCATTTTTTCTGCCCTTTAACTGCTCGCCCCCAGCCCCAACCCCAAGAACGAAAGAGCACGGTAATTGTTAGGAGCGGTAGGAAACAGGTCTGGGTAGGGAGCCCGCCCCTCGGGCTGACCGCGTGGTGCCCGCAAAGTCCTCTCCCTTCCCCCAACGTCCAGCGCCTGGAGGTCCTGGGTTTGCGCCATGCTCGGCAGCTGGAGTCACGTTTTCGTTTCCCTGCCCGGTTGTAACATCTTAAAATTTATTTATCTTTTTTATTTCAAATAACCGCAACAAAAATCTGTTTCCAGATTCCTGAACTTTCCTGGGCTTCTAGAGAAATCGACTCGTTCTGCCCCCTCCCTTTCTGACCCCCTTTGTGGTCTGCGGGGTTGTTTTAAGCAAAACCAAACAACCCTTACCAAAAAAAGCAAACGAAAAATTCCGGGTAAAATCAAGTATGCCGAGATCACATTTTCGTTGACGCTGCCTTAAGACCAATGAAGCTGAGACCGACCCCGAAGGATTAACGATTTCTGTAGCTGAAATGTTCTAATTTTACTGACGTTTGGTGGAGACGGTGAGAAAAGTTAAATATGAATTTGCCTTACAGAAGCACAAAACAAACGAAATAATCATATTTATTTTGATTACCTGAAAAGGCACATAGGCACAATGATGTACTCTACTGATGTCTCTGGTGGGTATGTAATTATGTAAATAAATTGTTATAGGTCTTCTCGAAAATAAATGTCAGAACTCTGACCATGACAGAAAAGAAGGAAGTATTAGTTTGCGTGGTATACCGAATTTCCTAACAAATTTTCCCAATCTTCCATTATCTGAAGAAAAAGTAATGTATCAGGTATACAACTTGATTATTTGCTCACAGATATTTTAATTGCTCATTTTTAAAGTCTTGACAAAATATTCGACTTGGTTAAAAACAGACAATAATTGGTTAAAAGCAGTCAAACAATTCCTCAGTAACTATTTAAAACTTTTTAGAGAATTGGCTTAAAACAATGAGTTCAAAGATTTTCTCTGTACTGTTCACTTTTAACTATACTGATGTTGCAGCATCCTCTTTAAGTTCTTTTGGAAAAACTATCTTAGTTTTGTACAATTTCGTTCTAGTCTCTAAAATCTAATGGAAGTGACGTAAGTTCCCATGTACCACAATACTTAAACAGTTGCTTGAACAGCTTTTTAAAACATACTTTAAAAAACTGAGACGATTAGTAAAAACAGTTTGGAAAAAGAAATAATCTTTGCACATATTTGTCTATTTACATTTTGTATACTTCAAGAATATTTCAGTAATATGGGAAATATATAGTAGTTTTGTGAAGTTTCCATATTAAATTATTCCTCAGAAATATCACAGTAGCTACCTAAATGTTTAAGTTCAGCAAGTTCATTAAAGTTTACAGAATAAATTTTAGTGTAATGCTAGATTACAGAGTTAATAATTAAGAATTCTTTAACACCTAAGAGATTTAAAATGTGAAGATCTGGTTATCTGTAAAATAATCCTAGGCTGGGATTTATATATTACAGATCTATTATATTTTGAAAATGATAGGGTAGAAAAATATTAAATATTTTTTAAGTAAAGAAAAATGCAATGGTAAAAAAATTTTTTCAAGATTATCCTAGACAAGCCAAAACTCTAAAACCTGGGACATTTTCAAATGTTTTTTCAAATCAAGTATTCATGCAATCAGTGTTTTTCTTTAAAAACCTCTGTTCTGGTTGAAAGAAATTAACTTAATTTTGCACTCCTAAATCAAGGATAGGGATTTTTATTTATCTGATAAACTTTATATACATAGTTGTAAAGTAGTAGATAAGCAGGATCCTTTTATTGCATTTATATCCTGTATTATAATGCTTCACTTGGGTGAAAACTTGAAAATATTCATTCTTCTAGCAGTGGGGGAGGATGAGACCTTTATTGAAAAGGCTCTTTGCTCATTGGTGTGTACATATGTATTTGCAGACCAGCCACAGAAAACAAAGAAGGTAGGCAGTTGCTTGTGGGGGAGGGGTCTGGGAGGATGGGAAAAGTTGGGTATTTAAACTTGTTTCTTGGTTGCAACTCATTCCTCCTGCAGGTTTCCTTGCTAAGAGTGGAAGGAAGGGGGTAGAGAGACAATGTATTAACTAATGGAGTAAAATTGGGACACTAATCCAAGCATGAAATCCCACTGGAAAGAGTAAGAACCTACTTGCCCCACTGAAATAATATGAAGGCAAAGCCCATGCTGAGGTTATTGCTACCTTTCAGCATTTTTCAAACATGCACATTTAAAGACACATCTCAGGTTACCGTTTTGACATTTAGATCCTTTATTTCCCTGACTATTTCTATAACAATCTCATTTCAAAAAAACTTAGGACTTCAAGTTCTCTTAATGAAACCACAGGTTTAATGACATTTAAATACAAATTAGCTCCTAGGTGACCTTTGAGGTGACCTGATGAATTCCTCATGATGTCTATAAAAGTAAAATTAATTTTTAAATTTAATAAGGTGGAATATTTTTTAAATTCCTTGTAAGAATAATGGCTGATCATTACCATTTCTACTTGGACTCATTAAAATTGATTCCTTCTTGAATTCAGTTTACATTTTGATCCTGAGCTTCTCTCTACCATGATGTTCCCAGTTTTAAAGAGGGAAGCAGCAGGCTAGGTGGAGTTTTGTTTTTATTTCAAAACATCTTAGCTGGAGATCATAAAGCATCTGAGAACATAAGATACAACAGAAAAACAAAACCTAACTTGAAAATGTTATCAAAATTGACACTATAAAACTGTGTCCTAAAAAAACTCATGTCTAACACACTTCTCTTGAGATACCTTTTCAAATAGAACGTTGATTAAAAATGTAAAACTCGCTGTAGTACTTTGTGTTGCTTTTTCACTACTGACTTGACCCATTATTTTTAAATTGGTCATACTAATATCTGCTTAAAGACACACTTTTACTTAAACTGAGGTTTAAGTTACTATCAATAATTAAACCTGTTCAATGATTTCCAATAATTTTGTTTTGGAGAGGTCTTATGTCAATCATTGAAGCAATCTTTCCATTTTTTAAAACTATTTTTCTTTATAGGGTATACTTCATATTTTATTTGTAATCTAAAATTTGTTCCTAGCACTTTCTAAGAGGTGGAGAACAATTTAAAAGTAACTAAATGGTACTCTGTAAACTATGTAAAGATTCACAATGTGTACAATTTCATCTAGACATGTAGGAAACATCATTACTATTGGCTACTTTACATTATACCTTATCTGTATGCTCTTTGTTTTTATAAGCAGTCTAACTCTCATCAAGCCATTAAAAAACCAAATTCATCAAAAAGACACTAACAAAGTAACAAGTGATAAAAAAAAAAAACAAGGGAAAAAATGTTAGTTTTGTTACATCAGAAATAGATTTTCTTTGGTCATAATGTTAACATTTTGTTATGGAAAAATTAAGTACACAATGGTGTCACCATCTTTTGTTTTCGTTTGTTGAAAATTGCCTAGATTTTGTTCCTTAACTTCACTACCATATCTCTTATGGTAATTTCTTTGCTACCAAGATTCAAATGACATCTTCGTTTTTCATTTTAAGTGATATTCAATGGGGCCAGCAGTTGGCATGGTAAGACGTGCTGGACTGCCACATGGCGACTACAGTTCGAGTCTTGGACCTGGTGGCTTGCTTTCTCACTTTACCTCTCTTTCTGTCTCTCTCTCTGGCCAAACTAAAAAATAATAATAATGATGAATAAAATAGAAACTGGCAGGTGGTGTGGTGGTTGAAGGCTCTTGACTCCCACACAGCCAACCGCAGCTTGAGTCCTGGACCTAGCAGTTTGCTTTCTCACTTTTTCTCTCTCTTTCCCACTCTGTCCCTTTCTGGTCACATTAAAATTAATTCATTAATTATTAATTGTAGTTCAATAAAATATTTTTAAATAAATAAAACAGTGCTTTAAAAACTGATAGTCATCCATAAAACAAAAAATAGAAAATAAACTAAAAAATCCAAAATTATAGTGTAGAAGTAGGAGCTTATCTCTGGCAGCCATAGCAGATACTTAACTTTTATTTTAATCCAGAGCCAATATTTTGATTTTTAAAAACAAATTAAATTGAATTTTGTTTTAAATATGAATAAAACAACAACCCAAAAAAAGGAGAGTTTTAAGCCAGTGAGTGAGACAATGGGGTTAAAAGTAACATTTTTCTGTTCCATCAACAATAGTGAATCTTCAGTTGAGAGTAGTTTGTCAGGTGTGGAATGCAGTCAGTGTGTGCAATTGGACACGCAAATACATACACATATTCCTGCAGAGAAACCCTTTGTGGAGATTTGTGAGGGAGCAAAGCAAGATAAAACTAGTGTTCAAATTCTGAGGTTGCAGGTTAAAACAAGCAAGGTAAGCACTATTTTAAAGTTTTTTCTTAACCACCAAAAGTTTTCAACATGATATTTTTAAAGCAGGAGAGAAAAGAGTAACAATACAAATTGAACTGGAATTAGAATGCTATTAGTTCATCAACATAAGAATTTAAATAATACAAATTTGTTTTATTTTTGTTTTTATTTTTTAAATCTGTTATATCTATCTAATATACACAAAATATCTAACAACATTAATGAAACACAAGAATCAGTTTTAAAACTGATAGAAGGAATATTGGTCACACAGTTTGAAAATATTAAGCGTTAAATTTATCTACAAAATATGAAGCTTATCAGAAATCCTTTTGGTTGAATTTTTCTACCATGTCTATTTGAGTACATGTTATAAGTACATATTTCACTTTAATCAAAATAAACAGTATTATGTAAGAAGATGTCCCTTTATCTGCAGATAAAAGAAAAAGCCAGATATTGGTCTTCTGTGATGAAAACAACAATTCAAACTAATTTTTGAAATTTAAATATGAAAAGATCTTGAAATGAAACCTGAGTCCTGAATTCACTGGCTTTTCTTTTTTCTTTGGGGGTTAGGGTAGCTGAGATTAACTGTAATGTTGACTCAGGGCTGACCACCAGTAAAGTTTTTAGTGGCTCTAAATAATGTTGTTTCAGTCAAAGGACAGCTCATTCCTATTACTCTTCTTGTAAAAGATCCTCTTTCATTGAGTGTTACAACTCCCTAAATTATTTCATTACCAACTGGGGGGTGGGGGTCATATTGCATTGAGATAACCAAATGTTTTAACATTTTAAACCTTTAAACAGGTAAAGAGTGACTATTACTTTTTAAATTAAACAGCATTTTTTTTGTTGCAATAAGGGATACATTTCCTGTTCTTCGTTATTTCTGACAGTGTTCTGCTAATATGAGCTGAATTATTTTCTGGGTGCAGCAGTTAATAGAAATAAACACATTACAGCCATGCACAGAGATGATGTATGAACAAGAAAAAAATAAAGATTAAAATAATCAAATAAAAGGAACTTTTGATTAAACTAAAAATTCAAGTACTTTCTCACAGTCAAATCTAATGATCAAGCTTATAGTCTTTATTGCTTAAAATAACTATTAGAATAAAAATGTCAATGTATTGTTAATATGTAGTTATTACTAATTATCATGGAAAGAATCTCATAGTTGTGGTTTCATTTAATGTAACGTCATATGTAATATAAAAAAAACAATATTTTTTTAAAGAATTTTTCCCATATTTCTTGACAGTAAATTTAAAAACATGAATGTTAAACTGAAGACTCTTGGAGTTATTTTATAAAAATCTGTTTTCTTTGGTTAACACAGGGTCTTGGTGGTCACCAGGTGGCAAGGTGGTTAAGATACTGGTCTCCCACATGGTCGACATAGCTTTGAGTCCTGGACCTGGTGGCTTGCTTTCCCACTCACTTTCTCTCTCTTTCTGTCTCTCTCTCTCTCTGGTCAAATTGAATAATAATAAAAATAATACATTAAGTAAATAATACTTAAAAATAAATAGATTAAATAAAATATGGTCTTTTTCCTTCTCATTTTTTAAGTGAAAGTTTGAAATATAACTTACCTGTTAAAAGCCAACAGATTTAATTACATGCATGAGCTTATAAAAGAGATTTTGTGGATCTCTTAAAAAATAATCTTACATGTATTAATTAATTGGAGAATTTGATTTTACGTATATGTAACTGATTAGAAGTTTTGTATGCCAACATATTCATCTTAAAAGGAATACATTTCAAGTGAAGTACCTTTTGGCACTATCAAAGTGATTCTGTAATGTAATCAGAGGTTATAGACTCTTCCGTAGTTTAAGACCTGCTGTCAATAAACTGATCTGAATATATAAATGAATTCTTGTTTTCAAAAGTCCAGGCTAGAGTGGATGTGAAATCAAGAAACTGAAATCTATGGTGTAAAGGGAAGTCAGAAGCTTAAAGCTCATGTAACAGGAAAAGGATGCATGAACCGGAACCTATCTAGACTCATGACAGTAAATGCTAAGTTACAATTTCTCAGTGTTTATCACTGAATGAAATCACATATCAGCCCTGAGTGAGAGGCAGTAATAGTATTTATTTTCTATTATAGTGATAACAAATCGCACTCAAGGTGAGATTTGCCCACATCCAATATTATCGCTTTGTTTTTGTAAAAATTGTCTACATTTATACTGACCAGAGGATCTGCATGTAATTGAAAGCCAAGGTGAAGAGCAGCTGATAGAAACAAATTCACCTGCCACTGGATCTTCTTGCATTTTCTCACGCTAGTCTCAAGTGGTAGTTACTGGCTAAAAAATATTCCTGGCTACTCACACTTCACTAGATACATAAACTGATAAGTAAAAGACTTTCAATTAAAAACTCAAAATTGCTGGCTGTGCCATTGAATTAAAAGCTGCTCTTGGATATTTACCTGTAAATCAGTTGGTCTCTCTAACTGCAGGTGACATTGTGGTGCCTGCCTGTGTTCTTATGTGTGTTGCTGACCCTGCTGTAACCCTGGACCGTTGTTACAGCTGTAAAAAGAGTTAAACTATTTATACTACCCTTTACTTTTTTCACAATACAGTAGCACTTAGTAGCCTTCAACAAATATTTGTTAAAGTTTGTTTTTGGTAAAAGGACTAAAGACTGGAACTATCAATGAAATTATTGCACCACTTCAGAAAGTTCTCTAAAATGCAAAAAAGGAAGGGATTAATGCTTGACCTGGAAAATAATGTAGGGAAGGATATTTTGTATAACCAGTATCAGAGGGAAAAGAAGAAACGAATTTGAATATCACAGCTAAGTAATAGTTGTGGAGAAAGCAGAATGAAAAAGAAAAACTATCTCCTATAAAGGAATCTTTCATTATGCTTTTGTCAACCACTAATACAAGCCAAGGCCCTGACCAAAATTTTCTCACCAAGGAAAATAATTTTTGCAAAACGTTTTCTTCTGTTTGAATCAGATCCTTGTAATTTACATAACTTAGATAAGAAATTAACATAATGCAGAGTTTAGAACAAATGAAAATAAATTTTAAAAAGTCAAAATTGCAAAATTCATGAGGCAAATGTCAAATTACTAGATGATCAGCCAGTATAAATGTTTAGGGATAATTGCATTTGATCTCTAAAATTCATTTTCTCACTATTTTCTTTAGATTTCTGAAGAATGTTTCCATGTGGGTATTTTACTTTTATAGAAATAAATTATAGATTGTTAGAAGAAAAAAAGATGGACCCTCTTGAGACCAACTGGACGATATTCTAGACCAAACTAAATAAAGGTAAGCAAATGTCATTAAATCTAGAACATAGATAGTACATTTAAATAGTTTCAAGTACTCAGCTCAATTATCTATGTTTATTTCTTTTTCTTTTGGTTTCTTGATAGAGCCTGTTAGAATCGCTTAGAAAAAAGACAGATATAAAATTTTCACCTGTGGCACAGTGACTATCCCTGGCTTGGGCTTTCCTCCTTCAGAGTTGAAACATTCATTTGAGCAACATTTAAGAAAGAAAAATGTTTCTATAGAATTAAAGAACTTCAACATAGGTGGTCCTTCTTGTAAGATAGCTTGATCAGTGGGACACTTGAAAGACTAACCCAAAAAAATGAGAATAACAGGGCATTGAGAGTGAAATAGATCCTGCAGATGAATCTTAATCTAAATATTTGAAGTAAGTACAGTTATAGGACTCAGGCTTCAATAGTGTGTGATTATGAGTATCCCTGTGCATTTTATCTGTTTAATTCATTCTCATAAAGTGAGTAAAGAAGCTGACTGATTTAGGAGCCATTTCTTCTTTCTCACTTATTAGAAGTAATGTAAAGTTTAAAAAAATGCAGTTCATTAGAATTTATTGCAAGAGATTTAGCTGCTGTTTTCACCTATGATATTTCAGATATTTACAGAGAGTAAACTGCTCAGAGTCTAAGCAAGTGAAAGGAAATTTTGTTAACACAGATTTTATTATGTGTAAATGTGAAGACCCTCAACCATAACTTAGCAGAAAAGCTTATTTAGCTTATTTTGTTTATTTAGTTTATTGCCCCAAATGCTTATAAAAATACAAGCCTAAATGACTTTTTAAATGTCATCCTACTACTTTGAAGTTTTTAACAAAACAAATATAGGTAGGAAATTTTTTTAAAAACTTTATTCCACTTCAAAATTTGAAGTATGTTTTTAACAAAAAAAAAAGTCATTATGGCTAAAATCAGAACTAATAATTTTTGAAAACAAGGAAGACAAGCAAACTTGGGTTTATTTGACCTTTTATTCTGGAGCTGTTTTGTTTTCCATGTTGAAAATCTTTCATATCCATGACACATGTTATGCCCTTTAAATTTTAAACTCACCTTTTTATTTACTTTTTAAATTTTTTTAATATAATGAACTTAACTAAAAATAGTTATGTATCAAATATTCCTTAGTTTAGACTATGATGTAGGCTGATCTCAGTTGAGTCCTCATCTTCTATGAAGTCTTTCCTGATCCTGACCACTAAAAATCTCTCCCTCATGATTTCAGAATTTTAAAACATGAGTTTGTCATGGTACTTTGTTTTGTTTCTGTATTTTTTTTTATGTAGCTCTTTATTTGTATATTGCAAATTTGTATATTTAGCATTAGGTTTCTTTTTTTTTTTTTTTTTTTCAGGCCAGCCAGTGGCATGGTGGTTAAAGTGGCTAGATCCCACATGGCTGACTAAGTAGTTTGAGTCCTGGACCTAGTGGTTTGAGAAACACCAGGCACATGTGAGTGAACACCCAAAATTCCAAGAGGAGAATAAAAAAGAAGGATTTGCAGTGTAGACATCCCCCCTGGAGGAAAGGGGAGTGCTTTTTCATTCTCTCTCTCTCCAATAAGTGCACACATCCTATAATAAAATTTTAAAATTTTTTTTCAGTTCTTACCTTATCTATTATAGTCTGACCTAATTAGTAGCAGAGTCTGATTTATTTTTGCATGCAAGTAAAGTCCATGAGGCTGGGGACTTTTTCTTTTTAGTCGATATTGTTTACTGGTAATTTTTCAATACCTGAAATTGTGCTTGGCACATAGTTTATACTCAGTAAATCTTTGCTGAATGAATGTATGATGCTATATAATATCCAGGCTTCTGTGTAACACATCCTCAGTAAGTCGTTGAACACACAAATGCTGTTTTTTGTTTGTTTTAGTTTGCTGTAGTGCACATGCACTTATCTGAGACAGACAGAGAGAGATAAAGCATCTCCCAGGATGAATTACCTTCTTTTCCTTTCTTCTCCTCTCTGGATTTAGGGCATGCATGTATGGCATCTGAGTGTTTTTTGAGCCATCCGGTCTAGGACTTGAACCAGTCAGCCATGTGAGATCTAGTCACCTTCACCACCATGCCACTAGCTGGCTCACACAAATGCTGTTTGTGTGTGTATGTGTGCAAATATGAACTCCACTCCACCTTCTGTAAAAGACATGTGGTAACCTTGTTTGAAAAAAATTCAGTCTTGACACCGTAATCCTCCCACACACACCCCATCTCAGCCAGTCTGGATCATGGACCAGTGACATTTTCGGAATCAGCCCTTGGTGGGAGGATCTTCTGGATTCAGCTGGATCAGGACATAGAACAATGATCCCTTTCCATCAGTGCAGTGTGCAGAATTGCTGTCAGGATTGAAGTATCCCCACAGGAACCTGGCTCTGCATATAATTTTCTTGAACTGAAGATTCCAGTACCAGGATGAGAGCCAGGACAACCCTAGGGCATTTGAGTAGCGTCTGCATCACGACCAGCTCAGCCCAGCCCTCCTGGCTGCACACCAGCCTCCCGATTAAGAAGTGCAGCAGGGTGCTTTTAGAAAAGGTGCCCAAACCTCAAGCCCTGCCCAAAATACATGTCACAGTTTCCTCTCTCTGGCACCTGTGCCTGTCCATGCCTGTGTGGCACTGCCAAGGGCCAGCGCTGAGGAGGATGCTTGCTAGGGATCCTGACTTCAGAGAAAGAGGTGAGATTTCCAGACACTGAGTCTTAGGCTGTTCCCTCTGCCTAGAACACTTTCCTCAGATATACACATGGTCTGCTCCATTGCCTATGTCAATCTGCTCAAAAAAATCTACAGCATGCTTTCTAATCCTAACTACAGGATTTGATGAGTAAGTGCATATTTGTCCCATCAGTTCCTTGCAGCAGTTTTTGAACTCCAATCATATGTCCTCCTATTCCAGCTCTTTAGATTACTGTCCTGGTTCTCAGTCTTGCTTGTTAAGATTTTCATTGGTGGGGACCAGCAGATGTCATAATGGTTGCATTGCTGGACTCTCATGTACTTGACCGAGGTTTGAGTCTCAAACCTGGCAGCTTGAAACTCATGCTGGGTGGGTGCTTGTGCATGCGTGCCCAAAGTCCCAAGAGGAGAGTGGAGGAGAAAGGATTATAGCATGGTCATTCCCCGTGGAGGGTGATTTCTCATTTTCTGTCTCTTTCTCTCCCGCCAGAAGCACATACACCCTATAGCAAAAATCTCTCAAAAAAAAGAGAGAGAGGAAGTCTCGGTGAAAGTCTCTGATTATTTGTCACTTTTCCCAGTGTTTTTGCTTTTTGTTTTTGAGAGGTTTTTCGCTATAGGGCACGGGCGCTCGCCAGACAGACAGAGAGAGACATAGAGACAGAAAGCGAGAAATCACCCCCCAGGGGGGGATGGTCACGCCGCAATCCCTTCTCCTCCATTCTCCTCTCGGGATCTTGGGCACTCACGCACACGCGCCCGGCGTGAGTTTTAAGCCACCGGGTCCGGGGCACGAACTGCAGTTGACTACGTGGGAGTCCAGCGACATAGCCATTACGCTAACTGCTGGTTCCCTCCAGTGTTTTTGAAACAATGTTTAACATCCAGGGTTGAATTTAGTATAATTTTATAAAGCTAATGTGTGTATGTGTATATGCGTATGTTTGTTTTAGGTTTTTGCCATAGGATTTGTGCTCTTGGAGAGAGAGAAAATAACACCCTCACTCCCAGGGATAGCAATACCACAATCCCTTCTCTGTTTCCTGGGATTTGGGGCACATAGGCGCACATGGCCGGTGTGATTTTCAACAGTTGGTCAAGTAAGAGTGAAGTGCCTTATTCTCCAAGCCATTTACTTGCCCCAAAAGTAAATGTTTTGTTCTTGTTTCAGTAATTTTTGAGTGTCATTTGGAGTAGTAGGTTTCAGGCTTTTTTTTTTTTTTGAGAGGATTTTGCGACAGGGCACGTACACTTGCCAGACATACAGAGAGAGACAGAGAGACAGAAAGCGAGAAATCACCCCCCAGGGGGGATGGCCATACCACAATCCCGTCTTCTCCATTCTCCTCTCGGGATCTTGGGCACTCACGCACACGCGCCCGGCATGAGTTTTAAGCCACCGGGTCCGGGACGCAAACCATGGTCGACTACGTGGGAGTCCAGCGACACAGCCATTACGCTATCAGCTGGTTCCCGATAAATGAATAATTCTTAAAAAAAAAAAAATTGCATCAATCCCCATTATATTCCCACAAGTAGGAATTCTAATCTACTAAGGATCAAACAAATCAGGTTCACCTAAATGATGTCACATGAATTTAGCTTTACACACTATCTGATGGGGCCCTATATATAGCAAACTAAAAAAATAATAAAATTAAATAATTTAAAAACAAATGAGTAAATTAAACTAAGTGATTTTTAAAATCCTTTGCAACACTAAAATTTCACTAAATTGTCCTGAAGCTTGAAACCATTATCCAAGGATTATTTTCTTTACAGCTTAGTGCTTGCCATTTAGTATTTAAATATTGCTTGGAAAAATTTATATCAAAGCCAACATGGAGATATATATCATAATTAATTGATATTGCTGGGAAGAAATACAGAATATATTTTAAAATAATACATTTTAACTGGAGGGACCAGCAGTTGGCGTAATGGCTATGTCACTGAACTGCCATGTAGCCGACCGTAGTTCAAGTCCTGGACCCGGTGGCTTAAACTCACGCCAGGTGTGTGTGCGTGCGTGCATGCCCAAGATCCCAAGAGGAGAATGGAGGAGAAGGGATTGCGGCATGGCCATCCCCCCTGGGGGCTGATTTCTCGCTTTCTATCTCTCTGTCTCTCTGTCTTTCTGGCAAGCATACACGCCCTATAGCAAAAACCTCTAAAAAAATTTTTTTAACTGGAGAGTTATAGCAGAAAAAAATTTTTTGTTAGTTTACTATAGGGCGAGTGTACTCACTCCTGACAGACAAGAACTGAGAAAGCATCTTCCAGGGGGGA